TGCCTGCAATTAAATAAACCTTTCTTCTGCCTTTTTCTGTTGAGTATAGTCAGAGGTAAGAGCACCACTAACATCCAAAATGTATGTGAAAATATATGAAAGACGCGCCCTTTATCTGCAGGTCAAACACCATCTTCCTTTTGTGAGAGCATTTCAGTGTGCTGGAAGGCATCACATTTTCGGTAGTCCTTCCTGATTGTTTAATTGCTAGCAAGGAAAATTTACTCTTGGCTTTTGTGGCTGAATCAGATTTATCCTGCAAGCTCTTCATTATGATAAGGAACATATTCAGTTCCAAAGTTTTGCTGTCCCCGCAGTAAAAACATATATAAGCTGCTTCCATTCCCTGTCAGCACTCCATCCCTCTATGGAGCTTAAGTGTATGTTTTAGTTTAGTCTTTTGGAAGTCAAGGTGATCAGGAGGAAATGAGAACAGAGTTGAATCAGAAAGTTTGCATTCTGATCTTGACTCCTGCATGGACTGTAAGTTTATCAGCTCCCTGCTTTGTTTTCCCATTCATAAAATGAGGTTATCAGTGCTTAGCTGTATTGCTTGTGGTCATACTTAGCTTGTGTTTGTACAGTTTTTTTATAATCCTAGCTCAGTATGCTAAACAAAGAATTAAAAAACTCACTACTGTCCCCTAAAATTAAGCAAACAACAAACAAACAAATGTTGTTTAATCCATGCCAGGGAGATGTGCGCATCCAAGAGTTTTTATTTCTAAATTTTCTTTCTTTTCTGCATATTAATCACCTTATCTGAATATTTGATTAGTCATTTACTAATGGACAGGAAATGTGTAAATATTTGAATTTAGTTAATTATACGATTACAAGCCTGACCTTGGGTGGCTGCTTCTCTAACTCCATGGCACATAGCTTCATTAACTAATTAGACAGTGGCTGACGCACACATTTGAATTCTTCATGCAGACTTCATAATAAACCAAGAGACCAGTATTCATTCCATCAGTTTAATCTAAAATGCCAAATTGCCTGCTGAGAGGAACCAGAATAGCTGGTGAGCTCTACAGAAGTGTATGAGGCAACCATGTTAAAACAGCAGTGTAGCTATCACTCAAAGTGATGAATACGTGGCAGGTGGTGTGGTTCCTGTTATCCCCATCTATAGCAATGAAGTGTACTGCAGTAGACTTTGGTGAGCATAGCATTAACTGGGCTTCTGTGTTCACATGTGCAATGGACTGCTAGCACATGAAGTGTGTTGCCTTTTAGAAATTAGCCAAGCGTGATTTTTTTTTTTTTTTAGAACTTAAGGTCATTGTAGCTGGTACAGGTTTGCTGCTCTGGAGCCTGAGCTTCTAGTAGCCTGCCGAAAGGGACTGTCACATGGAACTACTCCTGCGCTGCTGAATGGAGTTGGTTTGAGATGATTTGGGACTTGTGGTACCATAACTGCAAATATTCATCAAATGTGTCTTCCTCTTCCGTATCTACATTAATAGATAGCTTGCTTCATTGTCATAACTGAGCATACAGAGAGAGAACAATTCCTAGGCTCAGGGTTATCCAAGCCCTAATCCCTTTTTTATCATGTGTTCATCCCCAGCGTCGTGCAGTGCCCTACAAGTCCAATCCAGAAGACTGGCAATGGGTGCATTTAGATGCTCAGGAGTAGCCACTTGAGATAGGATGTGATGCTTTCAGTTGTGAGCTTCTCAGAAATAGCAAAACTTTGTGTAGGATATTAACGTGATGTGAGAACCTTTTCTGGAAGGCAGATATATTTGGCTTCTATATCGGGGTCAGCTTGGGAAAAAGTATAAAGACTAGTGAGAAAAGGAAACAAGTTTCTCATCAATGGCTTTTTTGAGGAGAACAGTATGAGACCACGTCTGCCATGTGGGGAAAATAGTTTCATATACGTTTAACAGCAAGAAGAGCAGGTCAGTTTAAACTGTATATGGTGGGCAAGGAGAAGTCAATGGAGCTTTTTCGAGGTGAGGTTGATAGGGTTTAATAGAACAATCTAAAGTTGGCAAGGAAAAGGCCTGACCTGGATAGACAGAAGACTAGAGAGGAGTCAATAGTAATCAATAGGAAAATAATGAGGGTGTTTTTAGCCGATTTGCTCAGCCTACAGTGTAGCTCTGTTGCCTGGGAGATGATTTTCTTCCTCAGCTTTTGCACAGAACCAAATATACTGGGGCTATGTGGAGGGCATTGAATTTGGCCCTCCACATGTATATATTCATATTGGTAGAAACTTCCTTTTCCAACTCATTCAGTTAACACAGAGTGAAAGTGATCATAGTAAAACACACAGCAGATCTTTAAAACAAACTTTAAAGCTGTTTGATAGGCCAGAGTCCTATCAGGGAGTGTTTGCTGAATGCATTTTTTGTTTCAATTGGTTTCACTAAGACAAGGCAAACTTTTTGTGGATCTCATCTTTCAGCCTATTGCAACAATATTACAGTTGGTTTTCTTTGAAATAAGAGTGCAAACAGCTTCCTAGACAAATGCATGGATGATAGATTCATTAATAGCTATTAAACAGAACAGTCAGGAATGTATCCTCTGGCCTCTCTGAACCAGTGATGGTGGATACCAGGAAGGGGGTGTAATTCAGGATAGATCACTAGATGTACCCTTTTCATATGCTTTTCCTCTAAAGCACTTGCTACTACCACTGTCATAAATAGGATACTGGGCTAGCTAAACCATTGGTCTGACCTAGTATGGTACTTGTGTTCTTTCTAGTGTACCCAGGAAAGAACCATTTTCAATACCTACCAGGAAGTGATCGGAATTGTCTTCCATTGTTTACAGCACTGACGAATAAATGTGTGCGCGCACATTTATCCATTCCACATGTCCATGCCTGTTAAGCCAGAGCTGCTTGCTCCTCAAAATATTGCTCATATAACATATTTCTTGTTGAGGAAAAAGGGTGCTTTGTTTCCTGTGCTGGAATCCTTGGAGATGGAGGTTGAGTAGAAAGGGGTACTGTGGCTGCAGAAATGAAAAGAGAAGAAGAGCAGCTACTGTTTTAAAGATGATTTTGGTTCTGTTGTGGGTTTGGGAGTAACAGTCTCCCGCATCTGACAGCATTGGAAAGAGAACATGTCTTTTCTGGCCTAGGTGAGCCAGATAGAAGAGCAAAAACTGGCCTGAAAGCCCCTGCCTCCAAAATACCTAAAGCAGTATTATCCAACTTCAGCTTCTAAGAGGCTGTGGACTGTATGCCCAGGAGACGCACCAGCAGTACCTACACCAGTGGGTATGCATGGGTTTGGGCCCCTTTCACTCCTCCTCCTCCCTCCCCTGTACCTCTTCAGCTCCTTGGCCCTAGGCTCACCTGCTGCGCTATACATGGCATGGATCCTCTAACCTGAGGGCTGCTCCTGCAGTACGGACTGTGCCACACTGCCCCACCTGTCCTCTGTGGTGGGGGCAGGACGTAGAAGCCACGTAGAGTGCATGGGGAGCCCCAAGACTTGGTTGCTGCTGCAGCTGGAGCAATGGGGGCAGCAGTGGCTGGGTGAGAGCCTAGGGCTGCATGTTAACCCTTCCCAGCCTACATGTGTCCAACTGGCAGCCTGTGGGCAACCCTACCGAAAGCATGAAGGTGGGCATCTAGGTTTCTGATAGGGTTAATGTGCCAGGACAGTCATTTGCAACCAGGATGCCAGGATACCCCAAAGTGCTGTAAGATTATTTAAAGGGTGTGGCAAGAGATAAGCAAATGTGAGGGGATAAGATGATAATGGTTCCAGGCATGAGGAGTTAAACAGGTAAGAGCAGGCTTTGGCTCTCCCTGCCTAGCTACACCCCAACCCCCACTGCCTGGCCCCTCTGCAAGGAGGTAAGCACTGTAATAAAAAATCAGCTTTTGAAATGGCATTCTATTCAGTTCACAAAAGTTATGGAGGGGTGCCTTGAGTCTAACAAGGGGCTAGGACTACTTTCCACACACCGTCTGGGAGCACACTTTTCTCTCTGTAATGCAGACCCAAACAAGCATTTTCTCCATTGGAAAATACCATCTCACCTGCAATGAATGCCTCCACTGACATAAAACTCTGAAAGGTGGTTTTGTGAAGAGTGTTCAAGGTAGCAACTTTGAGAGTGGTGTCATTTATCTTCCACTTTTCTATTACACGGTTACAGTTGTAACAAAGTATAACAACAAGCCCAGTCCAGCACCTTAATTTGTTTCTCATTCTTAGGGTAAGTATGTTGCCAAATGCAACATCTACTGATTTGTGTCCTCTGAGGAATATGTTTTTCCTGTCTTTCCCTTTCACAGTAATAAAAAGGAAATTTTATATAAAATAAGGTTATTAATGCAAGTGGTGTTATGGCTGGTTAAAAAAGTGTTTCCAAGAGTGTTTTGCATCTGTAGCATGCACATACATGTTGGGTTTAGTTTATATTGTTGGTGTATAATCATTTACATTTAGATTGTTATCCTTGTAGAGAGAGAGAGGCACAGTATGGCGCTTTCATGCACTGCCTTCAGTTATCTGAACTGCAGCTAGCATGCTGTGCCTTAAAAAAAAAACAAAAAAAAAACAAAAAAAAAACCTCTGTTCAACCCAGCTAGGAAATAGGCTGAACCTGCTTTCATTTGTTTTTCAACAGAAGCCTTGTTCGGTTAGTTTGTGTAGAGGGAATAGTCATGTAGGAGAAACTAAATGAGATGAAAAATGAAGCTTGCAATTGTTTAGAATGGTGTGTGCTTCCCGTGAATCTGTGTGCAACCCAACCATGGCCGGGAGGAGTTATTCAGTTCATTTCATATTCAGTATTGTGAGCCAGGAGAGATCCCATGTAAGAAACAAACATAATTGTTCTCATTTGGTGCCAGTTTTGACTATTAAAACATGTAGCTATGCCATAGAGTGGGAAGAGTATAGTTTTGCAAGTGACCCCAGCTGAAAGCAGTATCTATGCCTTCAGTCTATCCAGAGTGGGGCCTCAACAAGGGAACGCTAACATTTTTCCCCAAATGCTTGTTCTGAACACGACAGATTCACAGTCGGAGAGTGAGGCTTCTCCTGTGAAACGGCCACGACTACTGGAGGACAGTAATGACAGGCCTGAGGAAACCAGTCGATCTAAACAGAAGAGCAGACGCAGGTGCTTCCAGTGCCAAACAAAACTGGAGCTAGTACAGCAGGAACTGGGATCATGTCGCTGTGGTAAGTGTTCTGTATCAGTATTGTTAACATGAAGTTTTCATACCCAGTGACATGAAGATCCATTGCATGGCTGGGAAAAGGGAACAGTCGCATTCAAAGCATATAAAGATAATCTTTGAGAGAGGATATAGTTGTTGCTGGTTGCAAACGTGAGTTGTCAGGCTCATTTTCATTATAATACTCTCTCCTGATTTCAGCCTTTTATCAAAGGCTTTCAAAGAATATTACAAGAATTAATGAATTTATCCCCAGAAGTCCCTGTGAGGTAGGTGAATGTTTTACCTACTTTACAGGTGAAAGAGTCTGCAAATCGCACAAGTCTGCTGCAAAGCCTAGAGCAGAAATGCATCCCTGTTGTGCATCTAAACTATATGGCACTTCTTTTCCTCTGTGTAAAAATCCTATCAGATGTGTCTAACTTTCCAAAAACTTTTCTAATAATGCACCAGACATCACTCTACATGATTTATCCCATAGGTGACTTCCATAAGTTGATGAAATCATTCAGCTATATGAGTTGAGAGTGGGAGAGATACTATTGCATATACTGACTACTGGCTTTTCTCACTCAGAGAACTCAGCTGGAACTTGTAATATTGCATATAACTGATTTTTAAGGAAGAACAGTGAATGTGGCTAGACACCATGGGAGAAATTCTCATCCACACAAGTACAACTGTATTTGAAATCAGTTTGTAATAGCAGCATAAGGCTAGATTAAAAAAAAGAAAAGAAAACAAGTTTTATCTATGTAGTAACTCTTGTCATATAGCACAAATGATGCACAAAAATGGTATCAGCTAGATTTGTGTTTATCATACAAAGCCTGTCTCAACAAGGGAATGAAATGCCCAAATGACTTGCACCCAAACTGGCACCTGCAATATGTGGAATATTGCACACTGGGAGGAAAAAGTATTGGTTGGACCAGTTATATAGAGACAGCTTGGGGGTTCTGTCTTCAATATGAAATGTGTGATGAAAATAAGAACTACACAGGAAGCTGTCTTTGTCTCATAAAGTCACTTTTCCCTTTACTAAAATTTGCTCTGACCATACTCCAACTTACTTAAATCTTAATGCAAGCATTAAACATGGTCTGTTATCCTGATTGACTAGTAATTATAGGGGTATACAGTGACCCTTGTTAAAATCAAACGGCCATCAAATGGTATAAAATCAAAAGCAATAGTATAGAGAGGCCATAAAGTTAAAATGGTAAAGAATTCAATCTGGACTTTCACAGTGAAGTATGTGGTAAGATATTTAGCAACCTATGGAAGCCCTGCCTTATCGGTGACAACTTGGAAGGTTCTCTTCACCCAGGATGATGGGTGCAGAAACTGTTGTTCTCAAACTGCTTGTCTCTGAATGAAGGAGCTTGCAAGTGCCTCACAGAAAAAACAAAACAAAACATCCTTAATATTAAATTAAGAAAACTGCTACAAGTATGGAGAAAAAATTAATTGTGTAATTTTAGTGTCTCAGCAAATTTTGCTGCATTCTACAAATTCTAAACTTTAATTTAAAAATAACTGCCTCTGTTTCTGCTATGAAAATAAAGCCATCACAGTGGAAAGCAGCATGCCATTGCTCTGTTACTCCGATCTTGGCAGAAAAGAATTTCCATTCAGACAATAGCAACTGTAAATTTGAAAAAGTATGTCCTCCCCCTGTCATGTACAGCCTAGTGAGGTGGGGATTATATTGCCTATGTATCTTTTCTGTCTATGTATAAACAGAATGAGCAACTAAATGTCAAAATTAATTAGTTCCATGTCAGCCTTTAGGGTAGGGATATGTGTTCCATAGCAGAAGAAACTATATGAAAGGTTTTGTGACTTTATGAAGTTTGAAAACCACTGATTTTTACCAGAGGTCCTCAACTCCTGGCCAACAGGCCATATAATCCAGGTGGCAGAGCTCTGGCATCCAGCCTGCAAGGCTCCCCAATAAATCAGGAAATTTTGGTGCTGAAGGAGCAGTAGCAATTAATCCCACCATCCCTCTCCCACTTCAAAATTCCCAAGCCTGGCTTGACCTGGTTAGGGCCAGGCCCCACTCCCTTCCCCGTACAACACTGGGATGGGGCTGAATTGCCCCTTGCTCCCTTCCATGTGACTAAATCAGGTCCTGCCACTCCTGCCCTACATACCAAATCCAGCCCACTAAGAGACCAGGCACTGCCAATCCAGCCCAGAGGGCAAGAAGCTTGAGCACCGCTGATCTATACCATTACTTCTCTAATGACAAAATTACGTCTCTTGTGACAAAAACTGTATGTTGACAAGTTAACTAGATAATTTTCTAAAGCAAGCTAATTTGTTTTATTCTTCTGCATGTGAAGTCAGGTTGCTTGAGTCATGATTATCAGCCCATATTGGTAGGGGAAAACTTAAGTGTATTTAAACATGTTTTATTAATTTAAGACCTATGAATCAGAGTGTTCTAGTGATACAATTGCTACTTTGCAAGCCATCACAATTAGCAATAGGTACTTCATGTTTTACCTCACACTAGAGATTGTACTGTCAAGCTATCCAGTGAAACAAGTGTCTGTACCCAGGAAGGATTTTTCAGAATGCAGAACCTCATGCTTAACACTGGTCCAGGACTGATGCTGCAGGTTCTGGACATTGCACCACTCTGGTCTTAAATTTCTGATTCCATTCTTGATTGCAGCAAAGGAAAAAGTATGTGAAAGCTGCTCAGCTTATCCTTTAGAAGTAGTTCCCATAATGGTATTGCGTAGAAAGCAGGTAAGGGGGTTAAAGGTACAAATGAATGCAGTGTGGGGACAGGAGAAAAGGAATTATTGCAAGGCTATCACAGCTGCACACAGATCTGTTGGATACCTGTGTGCATACAGCAAGACTAAAATCTGAAGAGGCTTTTTTGGCTGCTGGTGCCTCCTATACAACAGCAAATGCATTGTTTGGGATTGTATGTTGGCTGAGTTAAAAGCCACTGGAAGCCATCTCAACTTTTAGGTAGGAGACAGTAATTTTTGTAGCCCTAATGCTAGTACTAACAAGTTTATCATTGGATAATTTAGGGCATTGTGGCCATTGGAAACGAGCGTTGTACGTAATGTGGGGGTTTTTTCAATGTAAAATTCTGTGGGTTAACCACATTACAATAATATCATGCAACTTTGTGGTATGTCTCACACAGGGAAAATCAAATGCTGGACAATCTTGGATTAATTGGAGGCTTATTGTTCTTAATGTAGAATACCTGAGAAACTTACCTCCACCCATGCCAGGCAGCTCCTTGTTTTGAATTTTCTATTATGTTTCAAAATAGACTGCTGTTGTGTTGCTGTTGCCTTTATTAGGAGGTAGATGAGGAATTATCAATAAGGTGTTAAGTTGAGCTGTAACTTGTAATAACTCTCTAATGAACTCAGACCAGTCCATGAGAACAGTTTCGTTGTTTCAGTTTGGAAAGCATACTCCAATTTCAAATAAAATATTTTTTCTTCTCTTTGAGGGAGTCCCTTTCACAGTCACATTAGCTGTGAGTAGTCAAGGGAGTCCTCTAGTTCTCTTCTAATGAAGAGCTGGTTTACTTGCTGATTTTCTGTTGAATTTAATTCTATACTGTTGGGCTGTCATATCAGCAGGCTTTAAAATGCAACTCTGCACAGAACTCTGACATTGCAAGAAAAATAGAGGACTTGATGAAAATGGACTGGCTTGGGAAACATCTGCCCTGCTCCAGAGATGTAATTTTCAGATTTAGGCCTCTTCATATATGTTCATTGCTTTGGCTTGTGACACTGTGCCAGCTGTCAAAACAATTAAGCCAAAAAAGCAGAAAGCCTGCTCTGAAGGCAGCTTAATATCTCTTCAACAGTTGTGTTGTCTCTTTGTCCCATGAAGTCACTTTTACCATGCTAGAAACTGCTGTGAATGAGTGAAATGGGTAACGAAATGTGTGTGCCTCCTTTGAACTTGCGTGCACTTGTTTTATTTTCTTGTCTATTCTTTTTTAAAGAAAATTCTCCACAAATGTTTGTCGTTTCTCTAGGAGGGTGCCACAAAAGTGGAGCCTGGAAGAGGCAGCTGTTCCAAAATAAGCCACCTGTGTCTTTCCTTTTGCAACTGTTTTGTTGTTGCTTTGGGGAGGGGAACTACATTTCCAAAGACAGTATGTGTCATATTTGATCAATCCTTTGGTTCCTCAAGTTTGAGCATTCTGCCTCCACCAGAGGCTGGCCTAATGTATTTCCTCTGGTTATTATCAGACATGTAGTGAGTGTTCAGATGACCTGTGCATTCAGTGATCTTTCCCCATCTTCTCTGAAATGGGCAGTGTCTGACTTCTGAATATTTATCCTACTAAATGAAACTGTCTAGAAGCACATATAGATGCACTGTCTTTTTTGCTAACACCTATGCAGCCCATTACACAGTGCAGATTTCACTTGTCCTTCACCCTCTCTGCAGTGTCAGAATAGCATCACTGAGACATATGTTTATTGAACAATGCCCAGCTTTACCTTCAGGAGTTACTTGTAGTTTACACATCCTTGTAAAAGCCACGTAAAATACAATACAAATGCAATGTAAAGTTGCATTAACTGAAAGTTTTTTATGTGGCCTTCCCTATCTCGGTCATCTAAAATTGATATTCATTGCTCATACTATTGTTTCAGTTTCTAGCCCTAATAGTATGATGCTTCAAGGAAGTACCTCAGCAGATATATGGGTGTCATGCAGGACACTGCACTTGGCCGGGCATGGTCTTTACACTTTAGGATAGAAATCTTAGATTATCAACAAACTGCTCTGTTGCTTCCACTGCCTCTTGTAACATATATCCAGAAAAAGGTATCTCTGTGGATCCAGTTTCACTGACACTACATGGAATTTCAGACAAATTTAACAGTGCTGTAGGGCTTTCGGAGGGGAAGAACAAAACAATTTACTACTGAGAAGGGAGTCCCAATAAAGATTCTTTAAACTCAAACACAACATTTCTCAGCTGTAGAAAGA